CTACCGATTGTTTGCAACAATTCCATGCCACTTCGTTCCGGATTGATAAGGTCGATGGCTTCGTTGATATTTAGCATTCTGTTCACCAGCACAAGCAGGTAGTGTGGGTAGCGGAATCTTTAAAGCAAACGACTCTTTCATCCTAACAAAAACGCATAGCGTGTCGTTGTCTCAAGAATGAAACATCGTTTTTCTGGGGTAAAAGCGACGTATACCGTAAGTTTTTAGAGTACACCTTATCATCGGTGAGGTGTTTACTCTAGAAAGTGGCCAACAATCAGGCAGCAAGAGACTATATCTGGCGTGAGATAAGAGGATTCATCAGCACCGCCTTGGAGCTGTCCAAGGGTAGCACTGCTTCGTCTAGAGTAGTTTCTACATTCATCACCTATTGAACCGCACTCAGCAAGTCTGGTACGTGATTATCGTGTTATCAGTGAAAGACTTGTTTTGGTAATTTCTCTTTTTTCTATCTCACTTTCACACCTCCTACAACGAAGAAGGGTGAGTAAGCCGAGCCGCTGATTACCCCTTAAGCATTTCTTTCTCTCCATTTTACAATACTTGGATAACAAATCTGTTGTTTTCTTTCTCAGCAGTCGCGAGGTTGTTAAATAGCACGTGTTTACTTCCGTACAATAACACACGTACAACACAGTCGTAGCTGACGTTTCGGCAGAATCGCCTTCTTTAGAGCCTGGAGGGGTACACTAATACGCAATTTACTAGGTCAAATGCTTCAATAACACATAAAAAAGATGAGAATCTAAATGGTAGCCTCACGGTCAACAGCTTTTCGAAAAACCCACCATTTTTACGAGCCTTCAACTGATAGTGGAAATACCACCTGATACTCTTCGTCGTCAATTGGTTCGTAACCGCCTGTACGACCATCTATGTGAAACAGAAAATTGCGTAATTCGCGCTTTTGGCGAGGACGGCGACTGCATGAGTTCAGGTACGATATGCCATACCTCTTGCAGTATTTGCGGAGATGAATATATTGCCGAAACGAGCAGACTTTTGTGTATCCGTATAAAAGAACACCTAGATGGCAAATGAAAAGCGAGAGAAAGAACCCCACTAGGGACGCATAAGATACAAAAGCACAGCGGAAACAATTGTGATATAAAAGTCGTTACCCTCGCACAGGATGCCAAACCACCAGCGCGCAAGCTTCTTGAGGCTTTTTGGATAAATGCTAAAAACCCTACAATGAACAGCAGAAAGGAATGCCCCGAGATTACGCGTGATGTCGCCCTTTACTTTCGTCGATCGTTGAGATGCGAGGTACAGTCGTCGACCATATAAGACGCTGATCAGCGGCTCTTCTTCACACGTAAAAACAATGGGTTTTTCGAAAAGCTGTTGACCATGTGATTATAATTTAGATTCTTATCTTTCTGTATGTGTTATTGAGGCGATTGACCTGGTAAGTTGCGTATTAGTGTACCCTTCAAGGCTCTGAAGAAGGCCGTTCTGCCGAAACGTCAGCTACGATTGTATTGTATGTGTGTCATTGTACGGAAGTAAACGTATGCTGTTTAACAACCTCGCAATTGCCGAGGAAGAAAACGACAAATTTGTAATCTAATGCCGAGGCTAATAGAAAATCGATCCTAGGAATTAGCACCTAGATGCTTGGACGGTCTGTCCTCACTGTTTGTGCGGGCCCCAGCATAATCTCCATTTTCGGAGTTTTGCTTTTTATGTATTATGTTTGCCTGGAGTACCGAGGTCGGCCTAGCAACAGTCTGCCCCAGGTGGTCACCATCACAGGCAGTTGCAGCCGTTGTGGATGTGGATCATAGGAAGATTTGCACCATGCGACTAATTTGAAACCAGGACGGTGGTCGATCCCGGCATTGGTTTGCTCTTAGCTGCGCTTTCTGATGGAAGAGCCGAACTCTTTCACAGCATGGGAGACCCTACTATGGGGATAATTCCCACCAACGTACACCATAGCCCGACACCTAGGAAGATCTACCAGCCACGAAGAGGCGGCAAACTGTTGGGAGGCCGTTTAACAGTAGAATAAAATAACGCAGAGATGCTTGTTGAATAATTTTTATGGACTGGCCAGTCACGATTATGTTATTACTAGATGAGCAGAATGCGTTATATCATGTCCCTACAATGAATGTCGTATATACATTTTTGTACAATTAAGCATGGACGCGCGTAGCGTGGTAGCTAGAGGTGTTCTGCAATACCCACGTTCGTCTCGTGTCCCGGGTTCACCAAGACCTCCAAACGACATATTTGTGCACCAGACTAGTCTGCAAAGATACCAGAACTGGACTAATCGATCACTAAACCACAAAAATTGCTGATCAGATATGAATTCAACCACTTCTAACGACGCCTAATGAAGTTCAGTATAGGGCCCATCTCCAAGGGATTTATCGACGACAAACGTTTTATTTCCTATCCTTCACGCAAGTGTAAACGATCCTGCTTTGTAGCCAACTCATCGGGCAGCTGTTGAAGCTTCTTTTTTCAACGGGTGTTTAAATTAATACACTGGCAGTTTAGTTATAATAGGTGGAGATGGTACCAATCGACTAGTCTGCTTTCAACGTTTGCTCAACCATCATGTTCTGAACACATCGAATTAAAGAAATAGCACCATAGATTTAAGCAAGACCAAACAAAGAAAAGATTATTAGCCGTAATTTAGGTTTGTTTCAAACGATAACGTTTAATTTTAATGAGGGAAAAGAAGAGAAAACCTCAGAGCTTGTTGAGGTCAAATTTGCGTAGAATTTGATGAAGTATTTGAAAAAAGGTTTTTATTTCGATATCTAAAATCTTACCAAGTTTTTAATAAAACCTAGAAAAGGTCTAGATCAAGAATAACAACGCGAAGGAAGTGTCGTTGTTACACACTTTCAATCGAGTCGAATCGTCTATAACAGAGTCTGAGCACGGAATGTGAACCAATTTTTCGAGAATCTCAGCTCAAGCCATACCTAGATCGTCGACTAGCTCTAGTAGAATTTTTCACTGAGTAGGCAATTCTAAGCTTAACCAACTTTTTTGCAGTGCTCAGAAACCAAATGTGTATGCCGAAACGGTCTCAAGAACTGGGCACAAAAACTAAACCTACATCTCGAAACGGTCTTTTTTTTCCGAACAGGAGACCATTCACCTTTGTCGTTGAAAATTTCATTACCATCTTTCCATTGTTAATCAAAGCAAACCCTCTCGTGTACTACCTTTGATGAGATTAGCTTCAGGATCTTCTACGTGAGACCACAACTGCTACACATCGAGCCGTGAAGGCCATATGGACGGCTGAAGAAGCTAAAAAACGCGTAGTGGGAAAAATAGAATTGCTGACGACCTCCTACAACAAAAGAAATCGAAATGTATGGGACTATTTTTAGGGCGTTTTCCACCCAATGACTTTACTTAGCGTGAAACAGATAACGAAGCATTCCAAATGATCTCAACTGGAGTGGAAATCCTTTATGTAGTCTAAAGAGAAGAACTAACTCATTCTTTGTCCAGTTATATCAGACATTACCGAAATACTCCTAATATGCGAGAATTTGTTGCCCGAATTAGAGTCGCTGTAAGCCGTCTATGTGTGGGTTCTACAGCTAAATTTTGCTTGTCTCGATACCATCAGAACGAATCTGACGAGTCGTGATTCAATCAAATTACCATTTATTGGATATGTTGTGTAATCATTTTTGTTCAAGGCAAAATTAGATTAAGGTGGCATATAGGGAAGAGGTTAAAGGTGCGTTACAATGCAAATTAGACTGAGAGGGTATATAGCGAAGTGGTTAGAGGTACGATACAATATAGACTGGATCGATCGGAATCAGCACATTTGGCACCACATTTGTCTGGGAATGTGAGAGTGCTTATGGGCGAAAAGCCATCTTCAGTCTAGGTGAACAGATTTCATGAACCGCTTTTATTCCATTCATGAATGACAGATCATTTGCGAAGACAACCCCAACAAAGGAAATTAGGCAGAGAATGACGCCATACGCTCCATGATAGCGAGCACATCAGGAGTGCCTTATAAAGTCCATGAAACATTCCCTTTACAAAGTCTTGCAAAAGTCGGCCCCAATGGTGAAACAACTGAAAACCCTCCTCGTAGAAATCTAGGAAAGTCTAAATAGTAGGAAAGTACCAGACAACACACATATCTCGAGGAAGAGCCTGAAGAACTCGTAATCCTGCGACCAATCGACTTCATCCAACGTGATACGATAATAACACATGCTTTTGAAACTATTCGACAACAGAAACACAACATGGATTATCTTTCACCAGAAGAAAAAAGGATGCTACGCGCAGTATACAAGATCAGGCGTGCCTTGCAGATGAGCCATAAGCAAACAGAACACTACTGGACTATTTGAAGCCAATGCTACTTGAAGAGTTTTCATGAATCACACAAAGCTCCACATCGACAACAAAGGAAACACGTCGTACAATTCGACGGTTGGCACAATGGTGCTAAGTTACCAACCAATTCTACCTGGAAAAACATGGAAAATGGGCCGCATGGTGAAATTACAACAATCCGAAAGCGGAACAATAAGAGAAGCACAGGTAAGATTGCCGAACAAACATATCATCAGAAACCCAACACCAACGTGCTTGCCCTACATTATTATTTCCCCATAACCTCTGGGAACGCCACTAGGCAGGGTAATCAGCACATGATAGGACAGCACGACCTATGAGGACCGACCGTGTAAGTACTTGAGTGGTGCAAATTCCAAAAAACATTTAAAAAAAAAACGACAAACTACTAAGGATAGCGAATGCCGTCTATGCTGGCAATGATCAGCTGCCCATTTCTCTTTGCAAGATCGTGCTTGTTCAGTCCAATTTCTTCCACTGTCACCCAAGCTCTCCAATGGAATGTCCGATTTTCTAAAAAAAAAAAAAAAAAGAAAAAAGAACTGAAAGAAACCAAGTAAGGTGGAAAAGGAGGAAAACTTGGAAGGACTAGCATGTTCCCAAAGATAAGCAACCCTCTTCTTCTCTCATAATTTTCAATGATGAACTTCTAATGTCAAAGAATCTCAAAATGTTAACGAAATCAAGCAGCGATGAATAAGCATCTCTTATATTCCAATGAAAGTACCAGTCAAAGAACGTTCTTTCACCATGACATTGATGAATATCGTTGAAACTCATGTAGGAAAAATCAAATTGAAGCTTATCCTATGTTTTAATCGATAATTATTTGGTTAATGACATTAAAAAAGAAGACATTAGATGGACGCGTGTAGCGAAGTAATTAGAGGCACCCTGAAATACACATGAAATCGATCTCCGCGCCCCAGGCTCAGCATCCTTCCATTCTTCCCGGGTTGGCGAATTGGTACCAGATTTGTCCGAAAGGATACCAGCACTGGCTCGATACAACAGTGGGCCACCACGAGCCACTGTAAAGGCCAGATATGCATTCAATCACCTCCAACAATTCTTAATGTAGTCGAATGCATGGCATATCCTTCAGCGATTGATCAACGCCGAGATCGTTTTTTAAGACCAACCGTTGCTCACTGATGCAGGATGAAGTCTGGATGAGAATGAGCATAGCTCTAGTTCAATCTGAGAAGTGTCTTCGTTAATTTCCCCACCGACAATTTCAACTCTCTGCCCAACCGTCATAATTTCATCCATAGCTTAAGAGAAGATTACGTTAATACGAACCGCAAACCTAGTTAACATGTGTCAATCGCTTTACCTGAACAGTGAACACGTAAAGGAAACTAAACATAGGAAAAATCAAACGCTTTTCTTAGCATCACCGTAGAACTACAGCCGATTTCGTTATAGAATTGATTGGTATAACAGATTAAAGGATAAAGGATGAAGCTCTCGGCGTTGGTCAATCTCTGAGAGATGCGTCATGCATTCGACTTCATCAAGAACCGTTGGAGGTGACTGATTACATATCTCGCCTTTAAAATGGCTCGCGCTAGCCTGGCGATGTATCGCGCCAGCGCTGCTATCCTCCAATACAAGTTTGGTACCAAATTGCTGACCCGGAGGGATGGAGAGTTTGATAGACCGGGGCGCAGGATCGATCCCAGGCGTATTGCAGGGCGCATCCGACCACTGCGCAGCAAGCGGCCCAGATAAACACAGATAACTACTAGATAAGACAGTCTAACTAGGTAAATACTTGAGAACATTCTTAAAGTGGGCATGTCCATATCACAGTTCATGGCTTATTCAAGAAATTGCAAATATGGCGGAACGCGATACCCCTAAAAACTGGCGAAATAACAAATATAAAAGGTTCGCTTGGAGTTTACACTTGTTAATGATAGAAAAAAAGAACTAAGGCATCTAAGTGTTTACCTTGATCCCATAGTGATTAATACTACCACCATTATCCGCAAGAAACAGTTCGTTTGTCATTATGCAGTACAGCGACCTGAATAAGCGTGTGCAGTACTTTCTCTCCCATTACTAGACGAAAATACACCCTGCCATTGGAAAATACTCATAAGCAATAACGTATTCATAAGATAACTCTTACAAAAAACAATAAAAATGACAATGATAAGTTCAAAATTATCAATGCTCACGTCAATCCAGTACCTCCTACTAAATGATCTCAGGAAGTCTAGGCATACTAGATCACCCTAACTATTCGCATTTCATCTTCATCGCCACACTCATTCAGTACTGTGTTGCTTGCTTGGATGGCCCGTCTTAACTGGATATAGGACTATACAGTACTATATTATGGCTTACAGTTTTTACTACCTTCAGCACATTTGGCTTGTGATTCACACTGCTCTATAGTACTTATAAAGTAAAAATTTTTGCAGAAATTACAAATAAACGAAAAGTGCAACGAGAAATGGCCGCGAAAAAAGAAACAGCCGAATATCACATGACATAGTACGGCCTGTTTCTGACCATTGAAACTCGTGATAAAATTACACAACGTCACTCCACACTTGATGGTACGGAATTTAGTGGGAAAAAAGAAAAAACGATGTGTTGTAGTGTAAAATGTTCTCTTATGGGTAGATAAAATTTGATAGAATACTTGTTAGTAACTCGAACTTTGACTCCACTAAGAGGTTGACAACTGGTATCAGCTCGTAATTTCACATTACCTCCAACGTAGAGATGTTTCAGTAATGGCTGAACGAGCATAACGAGCATGAAGTGTTTAATAGAACGTAATACTGCGAAACACTAAGTAACTAAGGTAAAATAAGTGTTATTCAATACAATATAAACACAACCCTGATAATTTCCTGTTTGGCGTTTAAACTGCAGAGACGACGAGAAACAATCATGTTCGATCTGGAATCAAGTAATTTAAATGAAATTGATCGTATCGATTGTATTCGGATGATGACGATTTCCTATAAAACGATCAGGAAATGATCCAGAAAACAGAACTGACAGTAAATAGTCCTGAATAAAGATCAATAGCCTTCGTAGACGTTTTTCCTCATCATCTACCATGTGACACAGCTATCAGCTTCAGATATTTGAGTTATAATAAGACTTTAATAAGAAAAGAACAAAGCTAGGTAGGACCGAAATGCAATCAAAAGAATCGCTATGGCAGAAAACATCACTGTTAATGAGAAGATGAGCATGTTCATAGATTGCTTGATAGTGAGTCGATGATGTGAAGTATGTACGACACCTTCGTCATCACATAGTCGGAATCGATCGCTATCGACTAAGTACCTAGCGTTCAGCGAAAGAATGCGTTGATTTTGATGTGAAATAGTACTGAAGAATGGACAAGTTTGTATAAAAGTACTGACCACCACGTTCAGCCGACCGACTGAACGACGTGAATATGAAGCAGTCTGGGCGATTGGCCGCGAGATGCAACGTGACTGATTGCCTGACTGCAAGGTTAGTACGGAGTTGTTCCACTCCAGCTTTTTTTTTCGCTCTTTCTTTTCCTCTCGTCATATCCTTGACTTCCACAAGTACCAGAAAATCGATCCGTTTATTGAATGTAATGGACAAATAACTGCAATAAAGTAAGAACAAAGTGTAAAAAAGGATAGAGGCTTTAATCGTTGATCAAACCTTCCTGAGGGATGCGCTATGCACGCGACTTCACTAAGTACCGTTGGAGGTAATCGAATGCATATCTAGCCTTTACAGTGGCTCGCGGTGGCCTACCGATGTATCGAGCCAGTACTCCTATTCTCCAAGACAAGTCTGGTATTAATTTGCCGACCCCGGAGGGATGGAAGGCTTGGTGGGCCGTGGATGAGTGGATCGACACCATGTGTGTTGCAGAGCGCCTCCGACCAATGCTCCGCTCGCTTTCTTTCGACGTAAGTATAGCAAAAGTATGACGAATAATGTTGCAGAATTCTCCTTTTAATTTTCTACTTGGAATCTTCGTTCTCATTTTCTAATCGTTGGTCATAGCCAGATTGATCATAGTCGCTCTGGCGATTTTAATGTTCAGAGAAATGAAAGCAAGTCCTAAACACTTTCTCTCTATGTGCTTCTCCACGCCCCCCAACTGATCGCTGACCACATTAGTTTGTTATGACAACGTCCCTTACATGTACAATCTAAAAATCATTACCATTAATTTGAAAGTTAATGAATTAAGATTAACTAATTAACTAATTAACTAATTAAACCAACTAATTAGCTGAACTAACGAACTAATGAACTAATTAAAATAATAACTATCACAAAAATAAATAAAATAAAATATAACGAGAAAACAGCAATTAAACAAGAGAATGAAATAACAAACTGAGAATAAATTAAGGCTAGAAATTAATTGAAAATTACTGTTATTAATTATTAAAAATTATCACTATTATTATCACAATCTTAACCCTTTTATTTACTGCCTTTTTCTTTTTAATGGCAGGGTATGTTGAGAAATATAACTCGTATATAATGCTGAGATATTTGCAAAACTCCGGACTGCAGGTGTATGCGGTGGGGAACGAACGCGCTAGCTATTGTCCTTACCGGGGAGTAGCGCACTTCACCACCACACCAACCGGGTCCTTCGTTTTGCCTGTCTCTCAGCTAGTTTACGGGTGATTGCTGATGGCAAAAGATCAATAGAACTAGCCGAGAGACAGGCAAAACGAAGGACCCGGATGGTGTGGTGATGAAGTGCGCTACGCCCTGGTAAGGACAATAGCTAGCGCGTTCGTTCCCCACC